GGTATATGCCATGCCCCCTTCTTCGGCAAGTGCCTTACAGTTTTCAGAGGAATGTTTGGGGCTTCTTATGTGGTAACAACTAACAGCTTCAACATTGCAACCCTTAGGATATGGGGATTCTTTTCTTAGATCATCCTGGCAGGCTTTGTCCTACAATCAGCTGATCAAGCTCTCATTGTATTGTTTTCAGTTTTTTCATTTGATGTTACAATCTTGCTTCCATGTGGTGTCATGTGGTTAAAACCACTTCATCGAATCCTCCATGAAGAAATTTCATGATTATGAAAATGCTTAAAAATGAAATATATATGCACAATGCAAAATGAAAAAAATGCATAAAATATTCGAGGCATTGATCCAGAAAAATGTCCATTATTATAAATAATCCTTATTTCGACAAAAATGCTTTATCTTGTAATAGACATAAAAACGATCAAAGGTACATTCGGACTAAATCTTCTAGACTCCGAACAGATTCCAGCAGGTTGACAAGTCTTCTGTTTTCATTTGTCACTGGTTGTATGCCTTGTTGGCCCACTCCAGCTTCCATTGCCAGGCCGTGTAGATGGCGAGCTGCCTTCTGTACTTGATCCAGGAAAGCTCGGATGACTGCGTCTCTGGCTTTCACCCTTTGTTGTGCTTGCTCCCAACGGAAACACCACTGTAAACATCTGTCGAATGACACTATCTGAAGCTTGCTTGCTTGCTTCTTGAACCCATCTACAATAGCTTCTAACTCAGCTATTGTTTTGTCATCTCTCTCATGTTGTTTCTCTAGATCAGCCATCCGGATTCTCAAGCATTGGTTTTGATGCTGACTGCCTGCTAAGTGCCTCTGGGCAGTCTTCTTCTGTTCCTTCCAAGCTCTCTTATTCCAGTATTTAGAAGCCACTTTCAACTTGGAGTTATTCTTGACTTTATCTTGATACCCCTTTCTCAAGTCTTCGAGCTCTAAACGAACACTTTTTTGTTCTCTTTCGAGTTTGTCTGCTCGATCTTTCTGAGAGTCGGCATCTAGATTCCACTGATAACACTCAACCTGAAGTTCCTTTATCCTCTTCCCCAGCTCATTGTTCATAGCTTCAAACTCTGTTTTGGCTATCTCAAGTCTAGAAGGGACGGGCCTGAGATGGTCCTCCATGGTCCGGGTGTCCTCACAGTCTGGCACCGGAATATTGTCATTTTCCCTCAATCTTCGCCACTCCTCATAGTCCGTAGCAAGAATGTTTCTGGCAGCTACCACATCCATCCGGAATACTTTCTTCCATGAATCGACTGCTTCCTTGATCATCTTCTTATAGTTGTCACTGTGATACTCAAACTCTGATTTAGCTAGTCTGCATGTTGCTGGGACAAACTGACGTGCCCCATAATATCTAAGTGCTAACAATGGAGCATATCCAACTGCATCCCAAAGTTCAGGTAAGGTCATAGTGTCAGAGTCCACACATTGGAAAAGAACATCACTGAGGAACAACCAGGGGGCTCTCCAAGTAATATCTCGGTCTTGATAGATGAGTGAAGACTTTCATCCACTTCTCTTTTGAAGTTCCTTCATGCCATTTCATGGTGATGAACTCTCTCAAAGGTGAATATGTAGTGCTAAATCGGCGGTAGGCAACCCAATTAGTCTTCCAGAAGTGGCTGTGAATCCAGACTTGAAGGAGCTGAACACATCCAATGAATCTACCTCCGCCAGCTCTTCGGCAATGGTTGAGAGAACGAAATGTCTCGGCTAAGATGGTTGGTGCTGGGTTGACTCGTTTCGGAAGTTGCTCAAACAGTTCCACCACGGCTGCGTCAATGTATCCCAAAATCTTCGGAAAGATGATCAAGCCATACAGACCTAGTGCAAAAAAGGTCTATAGTCTTCCATTCATCAAGGTGGTCATTCATTAGTTTCCTTATGTGGATCCATTGAATTCCTTGCCCGTTACCTTTGTTTCGGAGTCGATTAGTCATCCACTTTTGATCAACTCCTGCAATCTTAGCCAGTCTGTTCTTGAAAGGTTGACTCTTGATGTGTTTGATGTAGGCTCGCTCCAGTTTAATGCTTTCACAGTGCAATAGTGTAGTATACTCCCCGATGGTAGGTACCATGTCCTCTTGGTTAAAAGTGAAGCAACTGTATCCCGGGTTCCAAAATTGAACCAAGACTCTGATTAAGGGCTCATCGGTCTTAACATGAAGCAAAAGTGCAATGTCATCATACCGCTGACTGAACTTCTGTTTTCGATCATTCTTCCAACTATCCCAGATGTCTCGAAGTTCTTGCACATTGTTCTGTTTTAGGTTGATAGAGGCATAACTAACAAGCTCTGACACATAACTTCCTTGAAGACTGTCTCCCTTTTCTTTCTGAGTCTTCTCGGACTATAGTCTTTCCTTGGGGTTTTTAATCTCCCGTATTACAACACCTTTGTCCATTAATGCATATTATTTATGGTTAACGAACACATTTTTTGGTGGATCAACACCTCTTTTGAATGATGCAGATGATGGAAATAAAAATAAAAGAGAGGAAAAAAAATGAAAAGAGTTAGTAAGGTAAAGATAATAATCAAAGCAATCATGAAAATAAAAGTCCTACCCCACATGATATCTACCCCACATGCTTATTATTCCTACCCGGACATGATCTCTATCCCGCAAGTTGATTTTGAACAAGTCCTAACCGCATAAATTTGTAGTTCACATGTTTTTGAACAGAAAGTAAAGCAGAAAATAATTTTGGCATTTTAGGGTTTAAAATGAGGTTTTAGGGTGGGCCCTAACTCCTTGTAGTCTCCGGGTTTAGGTTCTAAAAAAGGTACTCGAGTTCTCCTTGCCGGTGCCCCCTTGGGCTTACCAGACCCTTAGTCCTAAACCCATCACAGGCTTGTGTGGACTAAGTTAAACTCGAGAGGAAACATTCTCTTATGCCCATACGGAGAATAAATTCACACGAAGGCATAAGGTATATGAATCCCGAAGGTTACTTGCTAGGCCCATACGATGAATAAATTCACACGAAGGCGTCGCTTTCACCCCCACTTAAAACGGGTTCGGAGCTCGGGTATAGAGCCTTTGGATGAAAAATCTTTAAGGGCTGAAATCATTAAAAACGGTCAGTACAACTATTTACTCGAAAATATAATCAAAAGTAAGTAATAAGGATCGAAATGTTACCTTAAAATTTAAACTTACCATTTTCATTAAAAAGACAACTGGAAATTACCTTAGCCTGACTCACTTACCTGTGTCCCCAGCGGAGTCGCCAAGCTGTCGTAATCATCTTTCGGTTGGGCCCCGGAATTGGGTTTCGACTTGAAAAATGTGGATTGGGAGTCGCCATCGATCATTTATTTAAAACAAATGGGTTGATCGGATACCCTATTTCTTACCTAATCTGCGTCTTTCCAAAGATGTGTCGGGTTCGGGAGTCGGTTACGGTCAAAGAAGGATTAGCACCCTTGAACCGCCCTTTCGGTACTACGTAATTTCCAGTTGTTTTTTATTAAGAAAATTGCAAGTTAAATTAAAAGGTAAAATTTGATCTGAATTACTTACCCTTAATGAGTTTACGGAAATACCCTTAAAAATTAAAATAAGATGTTAAAAGAAAATAATAATAATAATAAAAGAAAGTAACAAAACTAAAGAGTAAACCAAGGAAATAAATGAAACCAATAATAATAAACATAAAATAATTGGATGAAACAAATATATAAAAAATGAAATTGAATAAAATAAAATAAATGAAGAAAAAAACATATATACAAAAAAGAATAAAAAAGGTAAAATGTTTTTTTAAAAAAAGAAAAATAATAATAAGAGCAAAGAAACTAAAAACATAATGAAAATAAATAAATAGTATAAATAAAATAATAAAATAAAAATATATAAAAATGTATGTATATATATAAAATACTAAATAGTAACAATAATAATAAATAAATGAAAAATAAATATACATATAATATTAACTAAAAAATAGTAATAATAGAAATATAAAATAAAATGAAGTAAGAATATATATATATAACGTTAGGAAAATATAGTAAAAAAACATAGTAAATAAGTAAACATAGATAAAAAATAATAATATATATATATATATGTATATATATATATATAATAGGAAAATAATACAATATAACGCAAAGAAAAATGAAAAAATTATAATAAATAAATATATTATAATTAAATATATATATATATATATATATATATATATATATAAATAATAAGGGTTAAATTAAAATAAAAAATGAATTTGGGGTCAAAATTAAAAGTCAATCGAAGAAAAAAACGACAAAACACGCGGATCCACACGATCCGTTTATAAAAATCCGAATAGTTTTTCAAAAACACAAGCCTCGGGGATTAGATCTACAAAAATAGATCTCGAAAACGCCCCCGTTCATCGGCCAAAAACACTTCTCTCAGTTTTCTTTATAAAAACACAGCAAGGGTAAGGAAAAATAACATGCGAAGGTATGAACTTTACCTTTCAAAATATAAATGCTTCGAAAAATGGCTACAAGTTACTTGTAATTTTTTGCTTGGTATTTCGTATATCCTATTCTGAATGTATCACAATAGTGAGTTACAATGGCTATTTATAATGCTTGTGGATCATATCTTTAGGAGTTTAAATAATAGTAGAACTCTATCTTATTTTTAGGAGTTTGAATCCTAGCACAATTCTATCCTATTTTTAGGAGTTTGAATCCTAGTAGGACAAAAATGTGTGTTGACAGTACTGTTGCTATCGTTTTTGATCAGCTTGGCAGTGGGAACATGGAAGTTCATTTATGTATAAATGAACTCCTGGTATGTTTTGTTTTTACCTGTCTGCTTTCCCTACATGTTGAATCTTTTCTTTTTCGGGATTGGAGTTGATTGTCTATGATTGTATATAGTAATGATCTACATCATCTTGATGCAGTTTTTCATCTTATTTCTAGATATGTTCTATCATAAGTGTGTCAATGCTTAACAATGACTTTTTTTTGCAGGTAGTGAAGATGAATCCTTTTTCGATTCCCGAGCATACCTGGATTCGGATTGTGATGGATTTCTTTGGTGTTAACGGTGGTAAGGATATTAGAACGGTTTGAGTTGATTCATATGGCAAGCTTTACATAATTCCCATATCTGTTCTGTTCATTTCTTTTATGTTATTTCCTACTGCACTCTTATGTCATAGGCCGAGACCATTGTTCCTTGGATGTTTTACGAGTAAAGGTTGAAATTTCCGTTTAATCCTGGAATCACCGTGCTATCTCCATTGCCATTTTTTCTCCTTTTCGGAAATCAGTCTCTAGTTATCATGTTTTTCTGGTCGATTATTGTTGTTCGATCCAAATGTTGTACACTGTAAGCAGATTTCACCCCGTCTCGTGGTAATACCCTCGTACATCATAATAGCTTCTCGGTGGAGGCACCTAGAAATTACAAGACCACTGAGGATGGATCTCTTGGCTCAGTTTCGGAAACATCCCCAGGAAAGGAAAAAAAAAAGCTGGTCGAACTATTCCATGACAGCATTAATGAAGATCAAGATGTTAATGTGCTGAATACCTCGATCAACCAGGACACTGGAAACAGAAAGCCCGAAGTCAAACCAACAATCCAAGACATATTACCTCCAAAATCTGCTGATGGTACCCCTCACGTCTCTCGAGCCAACTCCAGGTGCAGTAGTCAAAGGACTGAAGATAACCTTATGTTTAAGGAGAAGCCTCTTAGCTTCACGCAGAATTGCCTTCCTAGCTTGGTTTCGTGCGGTAGTTTTAGCGAGAGGAAGGGGAAAATGAGCCCTGCAATAGACGCAAATTATAAGCCTTAGTTTACATCGATTTCCCGGCAAGTAGGTTGAAGAATCCCAGAACCTAAGTCCCAGAGCTCGTACTCGCAATATAACTTCGAAGTTTTCTCGGATGTAATGAAGTATTGGGGGGTATAATAATTTACATATGGGATGTAATGAAGTCCCAGAGATTCGAGGCAATGTAAAAAGCATTACAGTAAATATATGACTTGGAAAATATCATATATACATATGTGCTTGTAACTGAGGTTTAAAATATCCAAATTGTGGTTTACAGTTCATCTGAAATAATAATAATATGAAGTTCTGGTGTGTTCCATACCAGGAAAAGACCCCTTCCATGAAAATGATTGCAATCATAGCTTTGTTTAAACGCCAAGTTTCCACAACTTTTAAACCAACTAGGTTTAGCTTTGCAGGCAATCCAGGAAAAAAGAAGAGCCAAAATTTTACCCTTCTCGGCATCGGTTTTCAACACATTTTCCGATCGAATACCATATTTAAAGGTTTCTTTTACTTTATATGTGTATATATAGGCTAGCAGCCATAGTATTAGCAAGATCTCGACAAAGACCAAGGAGAGGAAGAAGTGAAGAAATGAGATTAATGGAGGAGGGTAAGCCCAGAATTCACATTTTACTGTTCTTTGTGCTGCCGCTGATAGCAAAACAAGCCTGTGCAACTCAACATGTGGTTGGGGGTGGCGAAGGATGAATCAGTGGACCTTAACTCATGGGCTTCCGGTCAAACATTCAAAGTCGGAGACCAACTCGGTACGTTAAATTCGGAATTTAAACTCCTTGCTACATTGCAATACTTAACTGTGACCATTATCAATATTGCTGATGAAGATGGCTGAAAAGCTTCCATTTTATTATTTCTGGTAAACAGTTTTCAAGTACTCATCGGGGCTACACAGCGTAGTCGATCTCGGAAGCGAGACAGCGTACAAAAACTGCGACCTGGGAACATCATTGGACGCCAAAAACTCGGGCAACGACGTGGTGAAACTGAACAAGGTGGGCAATCGTTACTTCGCTTGTGGAACATCAGGCCATTGCCAGCAGGGCATGAAGATGAAGATCACTACCGTCGCCGGTAATGCACCTTCCGCCCCAGCTTCCGCTGATTCTGGCTCTTTTACTGCTCCTTTCCCCAGATTTCTTATGTTTTCTCCATTATTACTCACTATGCTTTATTTTCTGTTTTGACAAGTCGGGAAAACATTTGGGTATATTTTGTTCAATTATATTGTGATTTTTATTGTTATAAATAAATGAGTTGATTGGAGGCAGTTTTCTTTAATGAAATTATTACTAGTAAATAAATTATTATAATAATTCCTAACCAAAACAACTCATTAATTCTAAGATGGATTGATTCAAATGGTAAGCGGCTTGATATCAATTAAATAAGTGTCGAGTTGTGTATGTCGAAAATCCTCGCTAGGAGATTCATCCACCAAAATTAGGTGTGTAACTCGAGTCGATACGAATTAATCACGGTAAATAAATAGGTTATGATAGTCTTGAATGGAACTTCATTGAAGATACGCTAATGGATACTGGTATTCCTTCCCATCTTAGGAGCTTTGATCATGAGCTTGTGTCGACGACTACGAATCAAGTCATATGGCATTGTAATAAAACAAATGTGTTCAGTCCTTCACGTGGAATATGACAAGGGGACCTCTATCCCCTTATTTGTTAGTACTCTGTATAGAGCGTTTGTCACAAGCCATTAGGAAGGAAGTTGATGCGCGAAAGTCGAAACCGATTAAACTATCTCGGAATGGTCCAGGCTTGTCGCACCTATTCTTTGATGATGATCTGCTTTTGTTTGCGGATCATCCTTCGACCAACTTGACGTCATACAAAGTTTTCCAAGATTTATGTACAACTTATATTTTGATATAATAAATAAGGGTAAAATGTTTGTTGAACTAATTTGAGTTTATTCAAAATTTTCAAAAATAATTCAAAGTTCAACTAAATTTGAAAGATATGTGTTCAATGTTTCTAAAATTTATCAAAACTTTAAAACGAGTATTTTAAGTTCAAATTATATTAAAATATCTTTCAAATACTTTATAATGTTTTTTAAAGTCTTGTATTTCTCATAATGTTCAAATTGAGTTTATTCAAAAATTTTCCAATGGCTCTTTCGAAGAGTTTCAAAACTTTCCAGAGTTTCGAAACTTTGTGTAACAACTTCAAACCTTCCCAAACAACTAGTAACTCATTCCAACATATAAAAACAAGTTCAAGACACTTGAAGAAGGTGAACAACACCTATCCAACCAATCAAACATAAAAGAAGAGTTCTTCAATCTTACTTTTCTTTCTTTTGTAAATATTAGTGTTTTTGCGAGCTTAAACTTTGTAAACACCTACCTTGTAAGGGTTTTCTTGTTTACATCTCTTATCCTTTGTAAAGGGGTTTTGGTTATAGTTTATCCAAGTGAAAAACTAGGGAGTTGTAAAGGTTACTCTTGATCCTTGAAAGAGAAAGAACAAATTAGTGGATTTGTTGCAAAATCCTAAGTGAGGAGCTTAGGTAGTGGATGTAGACTTGGTTGATAAGTCAAACCACTATAAATCATTGTGCAAATTTTCCTATCTTTATATTCCTTACTCCATAAACTTTAAATTGTCAATTCACCCTCTCTTGGTACATTTTCGGTTGATCAATCGAGCTTCATCGAACCCAACAATTAGTATCAGAACTTGAATCATTAGAAGGTCTAACAACCTTGAGACGATCATTGAAGAAGCTCTATCCATTTTTGAAGCAACCGAGAAGATGGCTTCCACCTCCGGCTTGTTCTACATGGAAGACTCCCAACCGATCAACAAGCCTCCATACTTCAATGGAGCCAACAATTTTCATTGGAATAAATTAATGAAACTATTCATCCAATCCAATGATCTTGATGCATGGGAGATGATCGAGAACAACTACTCTTCTTTAAAGAAGAAGAAGAAGGAGTTGAGTGCCCAAGAACGGAAGAAATCTTAACAAAATGCTAAGGCCATGAACATGTTGTTTTGTGTATTTGGTCTCGATGTCTATGAAGGAGTTTCTTCTTGTTCAAATTCCAAGAAGATTTTGAATAAGCTCAAAGAGATCCATGGAAACAAGAAAGAAGAACTAACAATGATGGTGTGTTTGATGGCTCTTGAAGAGCTCAATGTATCTTCTAACTCTAATGAATTTGATTCATATTCTTTTAATGAGTTACGAGATGCATATAATGAATTATGTTTGGAGTTTGAGACTATGAACTCCAAATACAAGAAAATGATTTTAAAATTTAAATTTGAAAACAATTGTAACACCCCCAACCTATACCCGACCCGAATATGAGTCTGAGGTGTCACATTGACTTTTCAAACTTTGACTCTTGACAAAATTCAAAGAAAATTTAAAACTTTCATTAAAATAAAAGCGGTTTATTTACATAAATTGACCAAAATAATCAAAATCGATCAGAGCATATTCAACTCAATCAACTAGTACATGCCAACTATATTCAAATTAACCAAACACATTTAAGTCATCTATTTTCTGATATGAAATTTTGTAAGGGAGATGCTGACCTGTCTTGCTCTTCTTCGCTTCTCTTCTCGCTTCTTTAACCTACGTGTGAAACAATCACATGCTAAGTCTATGACTTAGTGAGGCATTACATTTATAAAAGAACTCTAATTATTTAAACATGCAGGAACACACATCATCTCATGATGTCATACCAAAACAATTTAACATTACATACAATGTAATATACACATATATATATCTCCCACTATTTCCATTACTAACCTTATTCCACTATCCATATTCTTATCATTTATGTCTCATAATCATATACTCATATAATCATTCTTTTAAGCCACATATGATTCAATTAATCAAGCAATATACACATCATCTCATATATAATATAATACAATTCATATCACAAAAACATATACTTTACATGTAATATATATATTTATTGTTATTTCTTTGTTAGCCCATGTACCTCTGTGAGAACTGTAGATATGTGAGTCTATTGAGGTTGTGCACTATACTATCGCCATAGCTCGTATGGGGTCCCACTAGGGGCTATGAAATTTGTCCCGAAGGACCACTATGAAATGTCCCGGAGGACCACTATGTCCCGAAGGACCGCGTAGACCCTCGACTCTTAGCATGCCAACTATATCTCTAGATCTCATAACACATAACATGGGCATTATCTTTATATCGTTTTACATCTTCATGTAATCATATGATTCACTTTCACTTATCACATATACTTTCTCTTTCATATATCTCATAGCATATAACATTTCTCATGTGTTCCTATAAACATGTCATACATATCAAGCATGTTTACACAACTCATTTCTATATAACTTACATGAATCTATATTATTTTTCATATACTCATATAATCATATAATATAATATTTCATATTAACCTCATGTATCACATCACATAGATACATACTCCAGTACTCATAGTTACATATCACTTAAATTATTCATATTTACATAATTCATGGTCATATAACTTCTATCACCAAGTCACTTTTCTTATCTCTTATTCTCATATGTTCATATTTATCATATAACACATAAGATTTATTGCATATTTATATCGTATTCCTACATCACTGATTCATAATATAATTTATGTCGTATCATCTATCTTATTCTTTATTTCTTAGTATGCACTTACATTACATAACCAATAGTATACTTATAAACATATATATATATATATATATATATATATATATATACTTCTATTATTTTTATATACAAATTAATCTATTTACTTAATTCAATTCCATATAACTCCTATAATCTTCTCATATCACTCCATAGCTTTTATCGTACAACTAATGTATCATAATTTTATTTAAGCATATGAATCTTTCCCATCTATCTTATCATATATATTCATATTATCACTTAATTGATCATACTACTATATACTTGCCCAACTCACATTCTTATTATTTATGTAA